TTATTAGTGCTAGATATACTATCTACTTTGATCCAGGTGGTGGTTACATAAGTATATACATATGTAAAAGTTTATCCAGCTGTACAGCATCTTAACTCTACTTATGTAACAGCTGGGTGCAGTAGTGTCCATCTGTAGTCTCAGCTACTCAGGAGGCCGAGGCTTGCTTGAGCAGTTCTGGGCTGTAGTGCACTGTGCCAGTGGGTTGTCTACACTAAGTTCAGCATCAATATTGTGACCTTTCGGATGACTGGGGACCACCAGATTGCTTACAGAGAAGAAAACTGACCACAGTTGCAAACAGCAGATCAAAACCCCTGTGCTGATCAGTAGTGCAAGCATACCTGTAAATAGATACCACATTCCAGATTGAGTAATGTGGCCAGACCTGGTCCCCTCAAAAAATCAAAACTAACAAAAAGCTGCCATTCTCTTTAAGTAGCACTTAGTGTTTTGAGTGAACCTGGATTAATTATTGACGATGTGTTGGAAGATTTTTTTGAGTTGGAGTCTCACTCTGTCACCCAGGCTGGAGTGCAGTGGCACACTCACAGCCACTGCAGCCTCGACCTGCTGGGCGCAGGTGATCCTTCTGCCTTAGCTTTCTAAGTAGCTGGAACTATAGGCATGTGCCACCACACTCAGCTAATTTTTGATTTAGTGTAGAGATGAGGTCTCACCAAGTTGCCACGGCTGGTCTTAAACCTATGGGCTCAGGTAATCCTCTCATCTTGGCCTGCCAAAGTGCTGGGATTATAGGCGTGAGCCACTGTGCCTGGCCTGGAAGATATTTAACAGAAAAGTCAGTCAATGGTATGAACAATTTATATGATTATTCTCTCTCTTTTTTTTTTTTTTTTAAGTTGGAATGTCACTCTTGTCACCTGGGCTAGAGTGCAGTGGCATGCTCACGGCCACCACAGCCTCGACCTACTGGGCTTACATGATCCTTCCGCCTCAGCCTTCCAAGTAGCTGGAACTACAGACACATGCCACCAAGCCCGACTTGTTTTTGTGATTTTTTTGTAGAGCTGAGGTGTCACCAAGTTGCCCAGACTGGTCTCGAACCCCCAGGCTCAGGCGATTCTCTCACCTCGGCGTCCCAAAGTGCTGGGATTACAGGCTGAGCCACCATGCCTGGCCTATCTGATTATTTTAAATAGTAAGGCCATTCTGAGTCCTTGTGAATGAATATCTAAGTAGCTGTGTTAACTATGCTTTATGTGAGACTTGAGGAAATTTAATTTACTGAAGGTAACTTTATGTGGTACTGATTTATTCACATTATCTACTAAATTATAAAGGTTGGCTAACAGATTCTGAGATTTCATATACCTGCTTTCCCATTAGGATTTGCTTTAATTGATTTAAGCTCATTTTACACAACTAAATCTTAAAAGCCTTAATGCAATATGGATTTACTTAGTACTTTGTGAAAAGAATAAATGGAATAAAAGACTGTGTTTTCAGTTGTATACTTTTTCACAATGCTAAATTTAGATTTTAAAATTAGCCTGGGCATGGTGGGTCACATGTGTAATCCCAGCACTCTGGGAGCCCAGGCGTTTGAGACCAGTTTGGGCAACATGGGAGACCTTGTCTCTGTAATTAAAAAAAAAAAAATTAGCCAGTCATGGCGGTGCGCCTGTAGTCTCAGCTACTTGAAAGGTTAAGACAGAAGGGTCACCTGAGCCTAGCAGGTTGAGGCTATGGTAGCCATGATTGTAACCACTGCACTCCAGCCAGGACAATGGAGTGAGACGCTGACTTAGAAGAAAAAAAATTGTAGCAAAGCTAAAAAATATGCACATTTCTGTATACCATCAAAGGTGTGGGTTTTATCTGGGTACGGTGGCTTGCGCCTTATAATTCCAGCACTTTGAGAGGCAGAGGCGAGAGGATTGCCTAAGCCCAGGAGTTCAAGACCAGTCTGAGCAACTTGCTGAGACCTCATCTCTACAGTAAATTTTAAAAATTAGCTAGGTGTAGTGACATGTGCCTGTGGTTCCAGCTACTTGAAAGGCTGAGGCGGAAGGATAACTTGAGCCCAGCGGGCTGAGGCAGCAGTAGCCATGAGCGTACCACTGCACTCCAGTCTGGGCAACAAAGTGCAACTCCCACTTAAAAAAAAAATTTTTTTTTTTTAAAAAGCACCTTGGGTTTTAGCAACAAGAGTGAGGCTTTTAAAATCTTTGCTGCATAAATCTACCTCCAGTAAATTAATTTTTCTCAAACTTCACATAAAGCATAGTTAACATGGCTACTTAGATATTCATTCACAAGCACTCAGAATGACTTTACTGTTTCTATAGTATTTTTAAAACTTTGCACTTCAATTTCTTTTCAGCCGACTGATACATGATGGTTTATAAACACTTCAAAACATTCTATGAAAATTTCAGCCATGCAGAAAACTGATAACTTTTTCTCTTGCACGGTGTTATGAGTTGAATATGAGGTTATAGCTTGTGAGTTTGTTTGTTTAATTTTGAGGGAAAATTGTCCTTTTTAAATATGTTCTACTTTAGGTTCTTAGTTTTTGCTTCATGAAATGGTAACCCCAAAAGTCTGTAACAGTTTGTGATTACCTTCATAATAGGAAGGGACTGCAAATGGAGGTTGTAGAAAATATTCATAATAAGAATTTATGAATTTCTCAGGGAAGAGGTTATCACTTACAATTTTAAAAAATTAACTGTAAAATACATAAACCCCAACATTTTATCTTTTTTTTATTTTTTGAGTTGGAGTCTCACTCCTTCACCCAGGCTGGAGTGCAGTGACATGCAAGGCCATTGCAGCCTTGACCTGCTGGACTGAAGCCATCTTCTCGCCTCAGCCTTCCAAGTAGCTGGAACTACTGGCACGCACGACCATGCCCGGCTAATTTTCTGACTCATTATAGAAATGATGGCTCACCAGGTTGCTTAGGCAGTCCTTTCACCTTGGCCTCCCAAAATATGGAATTACAGGCATGAGCTACCGCACTTGGCCCATTTTAACTATTTTTAAGTGTGCAGTTGCATAGTGTTAAGTATATTCACGTTGTTTTCATCTCATCTTCAGAATTGTTTTTATCTTGCCAAACTGAAACTCTGTACTGATTAAACTACAACTTCCTGTCTCCATACACCGCAGCCATTGACAGCCATTATTGTTTTCTTTCACTCTTGCCTAGTAGTGACATCATACAGTATTTGTCCTTTTCTGTCTGACTTTTGTGCCTGGTATATTTCGCTTCGCATAGTGTCTTCAGGGTTCATCCATGTTGTAGGATGGATGTACCAGAATTTTCTTCCTTTTTAAGGCTAATAATAATCTGTTATGTGTATATACAAAAGCTAAACCTTTTCGTTTTACGTATCCATCCATTGATGGGAAGGTGGTTGCTTCCACCTTTGGGTATTGTGAATGATGTTGCTGCGAACATGGGTGTACAAATAACTTTGAGTTTCTGTTTTCAGTTCTACCAGGTACGTACCAGAAGTGGAATGGCTGGGTTGTATAGCAACTCCATGTTTAATTTTTTTGAGAAGCTGCCATGTTGTTTTCCATAGTGTTTCCACCATTTTCCATTCCTACAAGCATTGCACAAGGGTTCCATTTTCTCCATAACCTGGTTATCAGCTATTACTTTTTGATAATAGCCATCATAGTGGGCAGTGTCTCACTGTGGTTTTGATTTGCATGGGTGATATTAGACATCTTTGTGCTCCTTGGTTCTTTGTGAATCTTTTTTGAAGGAATGTCTGTTCAAGTCCCTTGTTCATTTTTAAATCTGGTTTGTTTTTTGTTGTTACTGAGTTGTAGGAACTTTTTTTTCCCCTTGAGTTGGAGTCTGACTCTGTCGCCCAGGCTGGAGTGCAGTGGCACTCTCACGGCCACCCCAGCATCAACCTGCTGGACTCAGGTGATCCATCCTCCTCAGCCTTCCAAGTAGCTGGAACTATAGGTGCACACTACTACACCCAGTTAATTTTCTTTTTTTATTGTAGAGATGAGGTCTCACCATGTTGCCCAGGTGGGTCTCAAACCCACGGTCTCAGGCAATCCACTCACCTCAGCCTGTCAAAGCATGGGATTACAGGCTGAGCGACCGAGCCCAGTGGGAATTCCTTATCCATTCTGGTTATTAGTTCCTTATCAGATACATGATTTGCAAATATTTTCTCCCATTCTGTGAGTTGCACTTTCACCCTATTGTGTTCTTTGCAGCATAGAAGTTTTTGTTTTGTTTTGAGAAATGAGATCTTGCTGTGTTGTCCTGGCTGCCCTTGAACTCCTAGGCTCAAGTGATCCTCCCACTTGCCTTCTAAGTAGCTGAAACTATAGGTGTGTTCCTGCATACTGGCTTGCACAGGAGTTTTGAACTTTGATGTAGTTGTAGTGCAGTTTCCTATATTTTTTCTTTTGTATCCTGTATTTTTGATGTTATAGTCAAGAAATCATTGCTGACTCCAATGTTATGAAGCTTCCCCTGTGTTTTAGTTTTATAACTCTTACATTTAGGTCTTTGATCCATTTTGAGTTAATGTTTATGCATGGTGTAAGGTAAGGGTCAAACTTCTTTGAGATATCAGTTTTTAAGAAAAGTGTTCATTGAAATATGTGTGATGATGTGAAGGACTTACCAAGATTTATAAGATTTAGATGCTTTCATTTTACAATTCCTTCATATTTTTGTTGTAAATTAAGATAATTATTGTGAGTTTAATAATTGTTTTAGTATGAATATTCCTTTGAGTAAAAATTTTTCTTCACCATTCAGGTAAATTTTCTTAAAATAAATAATTTTATTAAAAATTATGTGACATAATAGTTTGAAATGATGCCATGGATTTCAAAACTAGCTTTAAAAGTCCATTGGGATATTAGATAACCAGCTTAAGTGCTGTATATTGCATTAGTCATATTTTGTCTTTTTGTCCTTTGGTTTTGCTAGTTGTAGGCAGCTTTTGATATGTATGTATCTTTAAACATTTTCTTTGAAATTACCTAAACTGGGCGCAGTGGCTCATGCCTGTAATCCCAGCACTATGGGAAGCTGAGGTGAGAAGATTGCCTGAGCCCAGGGATTCAGGACTAGCCTGGGCCACTTGGTGAGACCTCATCTCTACAGTAATTCAAAAATTTAGCCAGGCATGGTGGCCCATGCCTATATTTCCAGCTGCTTGGAAGGCTGAGGTGGAAGGATCACCCGAGTCCAGCAGGTTAAGGTTACAGTGGCCGTGAGCATGCCACTGCAACTCCAGGCTGGACTACAGAGTGAGACTCATACTCAAAACCACAAATCCCTGTCAGCTGATATTAATTGTAATGTATGCTGAATAAAGAAAGCATTTTCCCCATTATTGTGATAATGGAAAGAGAAGAGAGAATATTTGTAGATTCATGTTGGCTTTTTATGTTGTGACTACTGTCCTAAAAGAATATTGTGCATATTAAAGATGTTGCAACTCTTTTTTAAGTTGGAGTCTCACTCTGTTGCCCAGGCTGGAGTGCACTGGCATGCTCATGGCCACTGAAGCCTCAACCTGCTGGGCATAGGCGATCCTAATGCCTCAGCCTTCCAAGTAGCTGGAACGCAGGCATGTGCCAGCATGCCCAGCTAATTTTTTGATTTATGATGGAGATGATGTCTCCCCATAGTGCTCAGGCTGGTCTTGAGCCTGTGGACTCAGACAGTCCTTCTGCCTCTGCCTCCCAAAATGCTGGGATTGCAGGCATGAGCCACCCTGCCTGACCTAGATGTTATAACTCTTGACTGAGAATAACTTGTGTAACCTGTTAGGAAATTTAGGACCTTTGTCTAGAAAAACAGTTTCTTCTTTTCCAGTTCTATTTCAGAATTAGAAATTCTGAAAACTACATAGCAATTTGAAAAGCTTTAAAAAAAATTGTATTCTCTTTTAAATGCTAGTTTAGCATTTCAGCTAATTTTTAAGCATCATAACTAATTTTTTTTTTTTTTTTGCTATTCCTGTAGGTTCTCTAAAAGGGTGACTTAATCAAGAAAACTTTTAAGAGCATTTTATATAAAGAACTTACTTGTAGTGGACTTTTTCTCTAATATATACTTTAGATCTTCAGATGTGGTGCTGACTTCATTTCGTTGGTGCAGAACACCAGTTAGCTTAATGAAGTTCTCCATTCGCTTAAGTTGCAATGAACAGTGTGTCTCCAACACCAGTATCAGAGTCACCTGGAGTACCTACCTACTTAGACATCCTGACTCAGGAGGTCTGGGATATGGAGAACTTTGAGTTCTTATAGGCCCCTAAAGGATGTGATGCTGCTGGCTGGGGAGAGCCCGTGGAGGGCCTCTGCCTGAAGATACCCCTTGTTTCTAATAATCCACCTTTCCTAGGTAGCAGTGTTAGGTACCAGCTTGGGAAAATGGAAGCATAGTCACTGAGTAATGTTCTCTGTTCTGTTGTTCAAATCAGGAACCAGAAAAGGTTGGGCTGGAAATGATTTAATTTGTGTGGTAAAATGGACATGCGGTTACATTCTCCAACGTTTTCAATATTTTAGCGTTATCTTTATTATATTTGCAACAATTGCAGTATTGGTTGGTGAAAGAAGTTTTTAAACAGAAAGGCCAAGTATCATTCCTAGTGGGTAGGTAGATATTACTTTCTAAATAGTACTGCCTCTGTCAGTATATTTTACTTATAAATATATTAGAAAGTATGAATTCAGTGTTTTGTTTTGTTTTTTTTTTGAGTCAGGGTCTTACTCTGTCACCCAGGCTGGAGTGCAGTAGCATGCTTATGGCTCACTGTAGCCTGACTCCTGGATTTAGGTGATCCTTCTGCCTCAGCCTCCCGAGTAGCAGGGACTATGATGTACAACACCATGCCTGACTAATTTTTGTGATTTTTTTTTTTTTTTTTTTCTTGTTGAGACAAGATCTCACTATGTTGCCCAGGCTGGTCTCATCTCCTGGGCTCAAGCAATCCTCTCTCCTCAGTGTCCTAAAGTGCTAAGATTATAAATATGAGCCACCATGCCTGGCCAAGTGATGTATTTTAAGCAGGATGATTGCTTTATTTCTGGATATTATGGAATAATTTAATATTTTCTTGAAAATAAAGGATATTTACTTGATAAGATCTTTTTGTTGTTGTTGTTGTTTTTGGTTTTCTGAGTTGAAGTCTCACTCTGTCAACCAGGCTGGAGTGCAGTGGCATTCTCATGGCCACCTCAGCCTTCCATGTGGCTGGAACTACAGGAGTGTACCACCATGCCCAGCTAATTTTTTGATTTATTGTAGAGATGAGGTCTCGCCATGTTGCTTAGGCTGATCTCAAACCTGTGGGCTTAGGTAATTCTCTTGCTTCCTCCTCCCAAAGTTCTGGGATTATAGGTGTGAGCCACCGTGCCCAGCAGATAGTGTCTGTTTTTACAGTGCCATTGAGAGAAGGTTCCACAGGCTGCTAGTAGTAATTGTTTATCGTATTAATTGTATGTCTAGTGAAGTGGATAGAAAGCAAGTCAGTGGATGAAGCTGACAAGAAGAATGTTGGCAGCAAGGAAAAAAGCAGGGACAGTTTGGGATAGGATGATTTGAACTGTCTAAAGAAATAGAAAGACTAACTGTCAAGTAAGGAAGAGAAAATATATGATATATAATTATAAATGTCTATAACTTAATTACATAATTAAGATTAAAATATGACCAGGCACGGTGGCTCACGCCTATAATCCCAGCACTTGGGGAGGAGGAGGTGAGAAGATGACCTGAGCCTACAGGTTCGAGACCAGACTGGGCAACATGGCGAGACCTCGCCTCTACAATAAATAAAAAATTAGCTAGGTGGTATGGTGGCATTTGCCTGTAGTTCCAGCTATTTTGAAGACTGAAGTGGAAGGATCACCTGAGCTCAGCAGGTCGAGGCTGCAATGGCCATGAGCGTGCTATTGCACTCCAGCCCGGGCGACAGACAGAGTGAGACTCTGACTCAAAAAAAAAAAAAAAAGATTAAAATCTATATAACTTTTAGCTCCTAGTTTTTAATATTTTATCTAGAAAACATTTGGTTTTACCATGCACAACTCTCTTAGCTGGGGTATTTTCATGTTCTGAATTTTAGGGCGGCAGCGATGACTCTCCGCACGGTATTACTGTCATTGCAAGCGCTGTTGGCAGCTGCAGAACCAGACGACCCCCAAGATGCAGTAGTTGCAAATCAGGTGAGATGACTGATTTTTGAGAGTCTTCCTTAGGCCTATGTGGGTCTCTGAGTATCTCAGTGGTTTGCAGTGTTAACACATGAGTGTAGTCTAGCGAAACTAAGTTTGGAAATGGTTTTTGCAGCAACATTATTTTTTCAGGTGTAGTATTGAAAACTTAATTTATTGATTTAAGTGTATAGTAGATGCTGTTTTTCTGGTGTGAGAATTTTCAAATGCAGAGTCTGAAGAATTTCGCAGGGAATACCTGTATACCTACTGTTGAGATTTTGTGGTTAGCATCCTTCCATTCCATGATGATCTCTCCCTGGTGATTATTTTATTTTTATTTTTTTCATGGTGATAATTTTAGTCAGCTTCTACCGTAGTGCTGATGTAGCATGGTAAGATTTCCAGCGATCTTGTAATTGGTTGAATGGAATAAATACTTTTCACTTGTGATCTTCGATCGCTTGAAGGTAAGGGATTAACAAATTATGGCCAGACTGACTCATTTTGTAAATAATATTTTATTGGAACACAGCTACATAACATTTGTTTGCTTCCTAGCGACAGAGGCACATATGATTAGTTGCAAAAGACACTGGCCTTAAATTTCTAGTATCTGACCCTTTTTTTTTTTTTTTTTTTTTTTGAGTTGGAGTCTCACTCTGTTGCCCAGACTGAAGTGCAGTGGCCGCTCCCGGCCACCGCAGCCTCAACCTGCTGGGCTCCGGCGATCCTTCCGCCTCAGCCTTCCAAGTAGCTGGAACTATAGGCATGCACCATCACGACCGGCTAATTTTTTAATTTATTGTAGAGACGAGCTCTCGCCAAGTTGCCCAGGCTGATCTCGGAACACCATCCTCTTGCCTGGGTCTCCCAAAGTGCTGGGAAATTTTTATTTCAACTGCTCTGTTCTCCCTTTCTTCTTTTTCTTCCTTCCTCCCTCCATCTTCTACATTGATATCAGTTAGCTTCATAAAGTGCAAATCTTATTTTTTTATTTTACTACTAAAAAGTTCTTACTGTCACCTGCTTGAGTCCATTTTTTCCCCCTTACTTTGACATGGGGTCTTATTGTATTGCCCAGGCTGGAGTGCAGTAGTCTAATAATAACTCACGCCGCCTCAAACTCCTGGGCTCAGGCAATACTCCTGTCTCAGCCTTGTGAGTATCGAGGATTACAGGCATGCGCCATCATGCCTGGCTGATTTTTGGTTTACTTTTTGTAGAGACGGGATCTCTCTGTGTTGGTCAGGCTGGCCTCGAACTTCTGGGCTTCTGTACTTCTCCTGCCTCAGCCTTCCAAGTGCTGGGCTTACAGGCGTGAGCTACCGTGCCTGGCCGAGTCCAAGTTCTTCAGTTTGCAGAGCTGCTCCGTGACTTGAGCTATTTACAAAGCCAGCTTCATTTTCTAAATTCTTGTTTTCTTCAGACTCATGCTTTGTCAAGCACTTGCATTCTTTGAATCTGTCATTTCATCTACTCTGCCATATTTACTCTGTCTGAGGACACTTTTCCTCTTGGCAAACTCTGTAGTCCCATAAGATTTTCATTTTCATATTATCTCTGCTGGGAAACTTCTTTCTTTGTCTTGAAGGTCTATTCACTCCATGCTTTATGTACATATTCTTGTTAAGATATTTTATTTGTCTCAGTGCTTGGAATGACTGGGGTTTTATATGTGCTATTTATTTAGATTTGGTTGTCAAAAGCATGCTTGAGTTCCAGCTTTGATTTCCTATTGAGTTCTAAGCTTCAGAGGCTTAAACTGGACTTAAGGATTTCCTTTAGCTCCTAAAAAGAGTTTAGTAATTTTACATATTTTCTTGTCATGAATTAATGATAGAAAGCATATTATTTTAATATTTAATAGATGCGTGTCAGTCTTAAGATATTCAAAATATATAAAGTACTTTAAAAAGAAATATTAAAGTGAATTGAATGGTTTTTATTAATGTATAATTTGCTTTACTAAACAATGGTAGTTCTAGGGTATTGGAGAATAAATTTACCTCTTTTCAATGTGTATGAGAAGTCTTACCTGTTAAACATACCCTATTTTTAAAAAATTTGATATAAGTGTATTTTAAAGTTGTGGGTTACAAGGCAGGATTGCGAACTTCAGTGGTTTAGGTACAGGTGAAGGTTTAGGCCTCCCATTGGACCTCACGTCGCCTGGATTAGGATCAGGCACCTTTGTTGATGTTATGTGCCCCCCCCCCCAAAAGTACTCTATTTGAGTTCGTAATTGTCTCTGATTGTGTTATAAGTTAGGACTTTGTATGTGGGCTTTTTTTTTTTTTTTTTT